GGGGGGGGGGGATGGGAAAGAAGAGGGTACGTTCTTCTCTCCATCCGATAACGTCGATTTTAGCTCCTTGTGTGAGCAGATTTACCTCCCCCAATTGCCAGGATATCCGCCGACATCTCCAAAATGCTGCTGTGGTGGTGGCACGTAGTCCGCGCGAGGCGGCATGCCAGGCTGATATCCTCCATACTGCTGAGGTGGAGGTAATGGCTGTTGTTGCTGCCATGACGGCCCATTCCCAGGACTGCCAAGCTGCCTTGAAGTTCCGTACGGGCCACCGGGAGGGCCCTGGATTGATTCATGATATACTGGCCTGCCTTGATCGATGAGAGGATCGTATATCGGATTTGAGCCAAAGCCCGGTGGTGGTGGAGGCATGTTTCTCGGTAGGCTTTCAGGTTCCTTGTACCTGTGATCATAGTTTCCCGCGGGGGGTCCTCGAGGGGGATATGGCTGGCCCGCTGGCCCAGCTTGGTATTTTGCAAATGATTCCTGTCGTTCTGACTGTCTTTTCCTCTGTGCTTCCCGATGAGATAGGGGAAATACGGGAGGTGCATTAGGGTCTTGATTGAGGAGCGTGATACCATGTTCTTGATGTCGCTGAGTTTGAACTGGGGACACGCGAGGAGGGAACTTTCCAGGTGTTACTGGAATTGGCTGGTTCGTATACCGAAGATCGGCAGGCTGTGGGGGGCCGCAGAAAGCGCGAGCGTTGGAATCATGCATCTGGCCGCCATATAACTGACCTTGCGGACTTGGGTTCATAGGTATACTGTTGGCGTGAGGTGGTTGGCCCAAGGGAAGGCCAGAGCTCTGCATGTGGGCATCATTGTAAGATTGGGGATGGGGAGGGAAATGTTGTGCTTGGTGTTGGTTTGCTGGCGAGCCCGAGGTAGTATGGAAGCCTTGTACTTGGCCGGGCATAGACATGGGCTGCTGTGGCGTATTGCTCCCAACCCGGGAGTGATTTGGCTGTTTAAAGAAGCGAATCAGCTCGCTGGTTGTATTTGATCAGCAAAATATGGGTAGGTTCAAACATACACTGTTATGCTGGACCATCATCTCGTCTTGGCTGGCCAGGGCAGAGATATCGGCAATAGCATGCACTGGAGTGGTTTGAGTCGAAGAACGGGGGTGTGGGACTGCATCACTAGCAACTGGAGTTCTTTGTGATCTTGGAGAGGTGCTCTGAGGAGATAGCTGCTGTGTAGCCTGTACGAAAACGAAGAAATAGATTAGCTTCTGTTTACTTACTCCCAGATACAAAGTCTCAACGAGGTGTTCCACATACCGCAAAGTTACCGTTTCCATTCCACTTGGCATTCCTTACTTCCATCAATTCTCTTGTGGCTTCGGACTCGGGCGAGGTGGCACTCATGGTGAGAGGGGAGGGATAAGGGCCGGGACTGGCGGTGGAATGAGGAGTCGAGGAGGTCGACGCAATGAACGGTTCAGTGGGTATCTCCCACTGTGATTTCCTGGTTACTGGCTGGACATAGTACCATCGTTGCTGGCGGCCGTCCCACTGAGCAAGCCTAGAGACAGCACGGACAACGGTCAGCCACGGGGATCATAACAAAAATAACTAGCGAACAAAAAGATAAAAAAAACTAAAACATGAAAATAAAGATGAAAAAAACGTACCATCCTTCAGGAAGAACGGGAGGAGAGGACGATGGACCAGCTGCATCCGGGCTCATCACCCTTGAAGACTGCGGACTCATTGTGTCTGGTCTGCCAACGGCCGCTAATGTCAAGGTAAGAAGAGTACACCTTGGCTATGGAGCCCGGACAGGACGAAAAAGCGATTGTGTTCGAAAAAAAAAAGGACGATCGCCGATGTCGAGCCAGCAACAAACGGTCAAGATGTCAGATGAGATGGTATTGTATTAGTAAAGAGGCGGATGGTCGGTGTTGCGTGTATATGTAGGCTATCCGGCCGTCCAAAGCGGAGTCGTTGAGATAAGCAACGGCAGGTCTCGAGTCCCCGCGGAAGATATTAACGGGAGAATATAGGAGAGACGGGGAAAGGGGACAAGCAGAGGAGCGCGCGGAGGGTAGGAATAAGGACGCTATTGAGTTTGCATAGTGATGTGATTAGTCGTAGATCGATATATCGTTCGATATGATAAGAGCGCGCGGGACAGGAAATCGGGTCTATCAGGCGGGCGTCTGGCTCTCAACTTGCTCGTCCGTTTTTTACTGTGCAAGGGCCGGCGAGCAGCAAAGGCAAAAGACGACGAGGACGAAGAGGACGAAGCTGAAGCAGACGAAGAAACGCCGAAGCAGAAAAGCCAACGATGTGGTGTGTGGTTTCTTCCCTGTGGTGATGTGCTGCTGATGGTGGGGATCGCTGGAGCTGGCAGAGGGAGACAAGGGGGAAGGATGATCGGCGCACTGCAGCGCTGACAAGACTGACAAGACTGACAAAACTGACAAGACTGACAAGACTGACAAAACTTGACAAGACTGACAAAACTTGACAAGACTGACAAAACTGACAAAACTGACAAGACTGACAAAACTGACAAGACTGACAAGACTGACAAAACTGATAAAACTGACGATGGGAAGAGATACGAAGAAAGAGAAAGAAATACACGGCTTCTTTTGTTTCCTTGCTTCGTCCCCACGCTCTGCTCTCGTGCCTAATGGTCAGGTCGGAACAGCGTCAAGTCGGCCAGTGTGAGCTACCTTGATGCCCAACGGCAGACACAAAACTTGGCAGGCAACTGGCTAACTAGGCAAAGAGTGACAGTAGAACTTGGCGGGTGAGGCAGGCAAGCACTTGTGAAGAAGAACGTTAGAATGCTGATTATTCAACCCAGCTCTGCTTCGACGCACTGCATCCATCCAGGTGCACCAGAGGCCGGTGGTCCGTGACTGAAAGGCAGATCATCCCCCAAGAAAGGGCATGCTGCTGGCTTAAGAGCGACCAGTCGTGTGGCGTGACCGGGCAGCTATTGGAGAGGCCATCCATAGCTTTTTACAAACACACCAGAGGGACGCCTTTTAGCTTGTTGATATCTTCTATCCTTGGAATGTTGGAGTAGATATAGATAATCAAATAGTAATTAATGCGGCCAAGTTGGTTGTCGAATATCAAATACACGAGCGTGGGCTTCTCCTGCTTACTAATGAATATGTCTTTACTAAGCAGCCGTATGCTGGCATTGGAGCTAGTACTTAAAAGGCATAGCGTGTCGGTGAACCTGCCCGCGACGATCTTCGGAAGCAAAAAGTTATCAAAGTTCAAAGTATCGATTCAACACGGGATACCGGGGAGGGAGTTCCCTGGCTGCGGCTGCATGCAGAGATTCCAAGCTGCGATGCCCGTTTATGGAGTATGTATGTGCCACAAAGGTAATGCGAGTGTCTCGAGGCCACTATCGGCGCAAGGGTAAAGACTGGCGGGGTGGCGTGAAAAGGACGCATCGTAGTAGATAGACGCATGCTTATTTTTGCACACAGCTACACGGGTCAGTTGCCAGTAAATAATGGAATATCTCTGGACAAGGAGGCCCTGCTCTATCTCTGCTCTATCCTGGGCTACACTACATCCTTCAAGAGAATGTTTGGAATGGCCCACAGGGTGCTGAGTGCTGTATACTTACTCACACTGCAGTCGTCGGCTCTTCGTTCAGAACAAAGTTTCGATCTTGGTTTAAGCCTTTAAGATTTGTCACAAAATAGTTACTCTTTACGGTTAGAGGCATCCGTATCCAGTAAAGTGCGCTTATCCCTTTTTTCTTAGTGGGTCCTTGTCCTTACTTAGCGCACTCTTAAATGTACTTTAGCGCGCGCGCAAATTCGCAGATCTATCTATTCTTGGAGCTGGTGATCGACTCTGTACATCGAGCCTTGTCATGTTTTTTGAAAAATGGCTGCAAGGCGTCTCTATTCTGCTATACCATCTCACCGGGCAGAGCCCGGCAATGCCCGAATCATAGAGATGGCTCTACTGGCCCATCTAGTTGCGATTCCAGGTTGACGAAAGCTATAAAAGGGGTGGTCTCTCACCCTGTATTCCATCCATTCCATCCATCATCAGCATCCAGCAACAGCCTTCAAAGTCGATCTCCTTGGTTCAATTTACGCTCCGCAAGCCTTCACTGCTCCCTCAATTTTGAATATCGCATTTTACCCAATCCCAATTTTCCGAATAATAGCCACCCAACGCAAACATGTTGTTCTCTAAGCTCCTTGTTGCTTCGTGCATTTCTCCTGTCTTTGGCAGCCTCTTACCCAAAGACTACGTCTCCGACCTCATTGCGCGACAAGCCCCTGGAGAAGATATCGTTATCATCGAAGACGATGACTGGCTGAAGAGCCTTGGGAAGGCTACGGCTACTCTTCATAGACGTCAGGATGACGCGAATTTCCCGTACATCAAGGAACTGAGAAAGGTTCTTCAGGAAAGGCATAATATAGATGGCCAGTCGCTACCATATGGAGAAGTCAATCCTGTTCAATCATCCCTTGATTGCACGCTAGACTGCAGTGGAACGTGCAATCCTGCCGCAACCTATACACATCGGACTCTCCGGACCATCACTAATGTCACTGTCGCTGGATATCCGAATGTTGATGAAGTCTTCCATAATCCAAATGACGACCCTCTGGACATTGAGGTCAAAAAGGGAACTGCAGTAGCAAGGGGGAATACAAAGGGTTGGAGCATTGGGGTAGGTCTTAATGGGGGCTTGGGCCCTCTGTCTGCCGAATTTTCGGGCCAGATTTCCCAGTTGACGGAGGAGGCCTCCACCGAAACCCGCGAAGTCAGCTGGAAGGGCAAGTGCCCCTCGAAAACGGAATGCCGGGTCACAACCGCGACATTTTCAATCACTGTCAAGGGCATGTGCAACGACTCGCCTTTCGTCTACTGCTTGACTGGACGTCCGCAGAAGAGAAATATGTGTGGAGAGAGCAAAGACCACCTCCTCACCTGTCTCTGCCCTGTACAGAAGGAAATGATTGCGGCCAAATGCCCAAAAGAATCCGAACAAATATCCTGCGATATTATCTTCCCACTCAGGAAACCAGACGGCTCCCTTCGCACTGTGCAATACCTGACCATAACACCTATCTCTAAATAAGCTTGCAGGATAAAAGAAGGCGGTGGTCAAGGTTTGATTTTCAATGAGCAATATTGCATCGCTTTTTGACCTAGGACCGTTAAATCATTGCCCTTACCCCTAAAATTGTCAATTAGCCTTTAGCTAGCGCCACAAGCAAGAATATTATAACATTTATTAGTATATTTACCTGAAACATTTTCTCTACTAGGTTACCTTGTAAGGACTTATTGCTATAGTTACCGGAAATTTATAGATTTGTAATACCACCAAAATATCGATGTTTCGAGGTTAAATATAATATTAGTAACTACTAAATATAGTTAGTTAAGGTAGCGGCTGCAAAATGTGTCTATTTCATAGGTAGGTTAGGTAGCTACTCGTAGGGCTCTCTAGTTAGTCTGACTGTCTCGGGATGGTTAAGTCGGTTAATTAACTCTGGCAGGCGCCATGTCCCGTCCGCGGCTGCAGATCCGAGTCGTTTAAGTTAGTTATGCGATCGGCGCGGCTGCACTTGCATGCTTAATAATTGTGAGTTAAGATAAGGGGAGGATGCCGAGTATCGGTGCAAGGGAAGCATCTTTTGCCGGTTTGCGGAGGGTCCGCGTGGGTCATATACATATCCAGGTCCATAATATGCCATGGAAGTGAGTCGGACAGATGGCTAGATGTTTCGAGACGAAAATGACTGTGCTTAAGAGATTGCTTTGATTATATAGAGATAACTAGAAGTAGAAAAAAAGAAGACCACCTAGGGCTGCTGTTCCTCCCTCTCTCCTGCTATGCTGCCTATAGACCAGTTTATAAGTACCGCCCGCCATAAGGTAGTTAAAACTCCGTTAACCTTGCTCCGTTTCTTTTAAAGTTGGTAACCCCCAGATGTAGATCCCATAATGATGATGCAGATGAAGTAACACTGTTAAGGAAAAAAAAGAAGAGGCGCGGAAGATAACGATTAGAAGAACAGACTCTCAGCCAATAAAAGGGCAGAATTGAGTAGTTAGTGATCAAAGGAAGGAGGAAAGGGGTAGAAAAAGGTTTTCGGCCTGCAAAACCTGGTCGAGAGAGTCTGCTGTAAACAATTACGACAGCTTCGTTTCTGTAATTTCGTTCGTTTTCGTTCCTCTGGGAGGGCCATCCCATCAATACTATTAGTCACCAAGCATAGTCGTCGTTGAGAAAGTCAAGATCATCCCCGTCCCAGTCGTCGTCGCCGCTGGGTTCTGCATCACTCAGATTCTCAGCGGGCAAGATCACGTCTGCAGGCCTGAGATTGTCGATTCGGATTTTCACCACGTTGCACATTCCTGGACCGTTGGCCATAAAACCTTGCCGTCCAATGACCAGGGGGCTGTCGTTTCGACTATGAAGCTCGTTGGGGGACAGCACGTCACTGGATCGTCCGCTTTCGTCACCACTCATGGACGATTTGCGCTCAGCAAGACGTCGACTCTTTCTCCTAGGCACATTATCGTCCGTGGCCTCGTCTCGGACAAGGTGCGAGACGTCGGAAGCGTCTGACCTTGATGATGGCCTACGACTCAGGATTGAAGACGCTCTCAGATTTCTGCCAGAGATGCATAACGGAGGCTCGCTTCTTCTGAGAAACGTTCGTTCCAGCGTCCGGGCCCATTCATCCCTGAACTGAGCACGGTCTCGCCAGTCCGTCTTCAGGATTGCGGTAAGGGTGAGCTTGCGCAGATACTTCAGGCGCGGAGCAGCTTCGATCAACGATCTAAATACAGCTTCAGCGGTCATGATATCCCATTTGCGAAGGCGTTCAAGCTCAAGTGTTTCCAGGTTGGACGGCCATGTCGGTACCTGACCGGGGTGAAGGAGCAGCTCAAAATGCGGCTCGACATCATGAGCTAATGTATCGCCGGAGCTGAAGTTTAGATCCATCCTGAAAACACGCAGAAGAGGGCAGGACGCCCGCAGTCCGACAGTGAACGACATGTCAATCTCCTTGTTATGGGTCAGATTGAGAACCTCCATTTTTTGGCCATGCTCAAACAGATAGCTCGCAAGGCCCTCCGAGTCCACATTTTCACACTGGTCTAGAGTCAAAGTCTGCAAGTCGACCGGCAACTTGAAAAGAAAACCATCCGGAAGGTAGCACTCAGTAAATTCCAATACCGACAGTTTTGGAAGAGCAACAAGTGAAGAAACTAAATTTTCGGCTGGCGAAGGTTGCTCGTTATCATCCAGAGACAGCCGTGTTTCAGGTGGCTCATACGGCCAGGTTTTATAAAACCTCAGTGTCCTGAGTGAACAGAGCATTGGATGGAGATGAAATTCTTTCAGTCTTGATAGGTGGACTCGGCTGCTCCACTCCCAGCTCCAAAGCTGGATGTAATCCGGAGGCATTGATTCAAACCAATGCTCAAGAAAGGCCAGTTGGAAGGGCTTTGACATTTTCCGCGGGGTATCACTAAGATCACGAATCTGAAGATGTTTTATCTGAGGCGCAAACATCAGGAAAGAATGTATCTGAAACCTGTCCACTTTGGGCATGTGGGTAGTTATTTCCAAACATTTTACCTTGCTACGATAGTTGGTCAAAGACGTGGACTGGTCCAGCTCTAACGGCTTTCTAATCTCCTCGAGCCAGTCCATCGTGAAGGCCATGGGGGAATAATACAAGGCTGCTATAGCAGGCTCGAAAAAGGCCCTACAGAGCCGTGAAATGCGCACCAGCCACCGTATCGACTTCAATACCTGGGTGACTTGGATACCTTTCCCCATCGGCGCAGCTCTCAGAAAGATGTCAAATAGAACGTGGTACGGAAGGGTCTGCCATGGTGGAATTTTGGTAGATTCTACAGGAGGTGGCATTTCGAGCTCAGATTCGTCTTCTGGCTTGAGCTGTTTGGGGGAGGTAGTCAGGACGTTCTTGCGAGACGCTTGAAGGAAAAGCGCTCGTTTCTTATTGTTTGATGACGACCTTGTGATGCGGCCTCCGGGAGCCTTTTTCTTTTGAGGTGAAGGTGAGAGCGAGCGTTGTTCGGTGCGAGGTTCCTCTGAAGGGATAAAGTCGGGATAAACCAGTGGTCGAACAGTAACTGGGGAGCTATCCGAGCTCTCGTTGTAGATGTCTACCTCATCCGAGTCCGAACTATCCTCACGGTAAGTCTTCACTCTAGTACTGCTTGCGCGAAGAGGCCGTCCCGAGCGTCTCGGAGGGTTGGCGGGTAAAGGACGAAGACTTGGAGCCATGCTGCGTCCAGGGGCGAGTGCATCATTGGCGGGCGAGGTCGAAGCGAGGTAGAAGTAGTGATGGAGAGTCGAAGAAGTTGCCGAAGCCAGCTCGGCGGGCAGCAGAAAGATCTACCAAGGTAGTTATTTATATAGCAGCCAAATGGATGAGCGACAGAACGCCTTCAAACGCCACCCAGCAAGCTTACTCGCTGCAAACCATCTCTCTCTTCGATCTCTGTGTATTAATGTTCGGATGTCTATCGTCATTTGCGTTGGAGTCATCATCGGGAGGTCGTTTTTCCTTGGAAACAAACCTTCCAGGGATGTAGGTCCCGTGACTGAATGATTGCCCCCGACCCGCCGAGGAATGGAAGTTTTGATCGGATTATAGTTGATCCGGATATAAGATAGTCGGTCATTACATAAGCAGCTGCATTAAGTAAAGATATAACAGATGCAACGCTTATGTCATCCTCTTCTTGCTTGTGCTAAGCGCTAGACGCCAGACGCCCAGGCGCGTTGTTTATCTCTAGCGACGGGCGACCTTCTTTTGCGGTCAGTTCACCTCCATCCCCCCCTCCATCGAGAGATAGACGCCAGCCCAGCAGGACGCGGGCGCGCGACGAAAGCCAGCAGGCTCCGGCCGCAGCCAGCGAGCGCACAGGGGGCCAAGGAGCGCCCAAGAAAACCTTGCCTGGGTACCCTGCAAGCAGAATCACATGACGCCTGCGATTTGATGACTGTGCATAAATTAATGTGTCTTAGGATGGAGATGTTTCTATTTATAACGAGCTAGAAGGTGAAACAGCTACCCGTTGCCCCCGATTATTATGAATGTGGGATGCTGGGAGCTTCTGTCGTGTCTACAACGCTCTCGGACGACGGCTCCGCACCTTGCCTCTCGTATATGCCAGCGAATTGACTCTCGATCAGCCATATGGCAGCCTCCCGCTCCGCCGGCAGTACCTCGTGAATGCGCACATCCAACGTCCGTACCAGGCTACTTCTCCCTCCCCCTCTCCGTTCCCCCAAAGGAAATGCAATTCGCTTGCACAAGGCTGAAGACGTCCCAGTATGGATGGGCTCTCCAAGCCAGGAGCTGAGGATGGAGCCCATGGGCCGCTGCAGTCCTCCAGCAACAACGAGAACGAGCAACCATATACTAAATATCCCGACATCCCAGAGCCACCGCAGCAGCAGCAGCAGCAGCAAGAAGGAATGCCGGAGACCAGCAACAGCCACAGCCCCCCGCTAGCAGGCAATACCAGCGGCAACAGTGCACATCCTAGTAGTGGTGATAGGTATGCCATGTCGCAGGTAAACCGTGATGTTGCACCAGGCGGTCTTCAACCGTCACCTAGAGATCCTCGGTCTGCTATCCTGTCTCGACGTTCGCCGTCCGCCGCGTCCATGTCCCCTCCAGTGTCCGTGTTATCCCAGGAGCGCCAGAACGAACGCCTCCCGTCTACAGAACCGCGATCTCTGCCTTCGCGTGATATTACCAATGCGACTATTGACGATGCCTACGTCGAGTTCATCCTGTACTGCAACCCGACCATACCAAGCTCTACAAACACATCGGAGCTCCGCCGGATGTTTAGGTCGCCGCCTCGCAGCGAAGGGAAGAACTTCTGCACATTCATGCTCTGGGAATTGATACAGAAGCTCAACCGCAAGGAGCTGAAGACCTGGATTCAACTCGCTATAGAGCTTGGAGTAGAGCCGCCGTCCGTGGAGAAGAAACAGAGCACGCAAAAAGTCCAGCAATATGCAGTGCGTTTAAAGGTTAGATTTGGTGACTTTTTCTATTGTTTATTTCTTTCTTTTACGTATCATGCTTGCCTTGCTGGTTTCTTTGGTCCTGACTCTTCGTTTCTAGCGATGGATGCGCGCAATGCATATAGACGCATTTTTTGAATACTGTTTAGGCCACCAACACCCATACTATACGAAGGTCCATCCACTTACTGAACAAGAAGAAGAATGTCGTGATGGAGTGCCAAGAGACGAAGACCTGGCTCTGCGCGCTCTTGTGCCCGAATGGAAGCCTAAACGAGGCCGAAAGAGGGTCGACGACATCTGCGTTGATCCCAAACAACAAAAGCGAACTCGCCTATATACAACACCAAACTCCGGGATAGAGGGAGGTTATCACACCGATGAGACACCCCAAAGCTCTATGCCCTGGAGCGCATACCCTGATTCCGCTGAACACCCACCTGGCGGCTGGCCGCCAGGTCCAGCAACACATCTTGACAGCACAAAGAACCCACACCGTATGGGAACTCCAGAGAGACCTATAGACGTTCAGACTGCTGCATCTGGATGGAGTTTTCCCATACACAGGTCTCCACCGTTCCGATATCCACAATCTGCTGTCACTCCCCGCCACCGTGATCTTGATGCGCTATTCTCAAACGAGCCACAGTCTGCAATTACTCCGTCTTCGGTAGATAGGGTGGGCGGGAAAAGGCGAGGCCGCCCAACAGTATCTTCAGCATGGCTTGGAAACAGCCCGTCTGCCGGAAAGTCTCGAGGTCGACCTATGCACCCTGAAACGCCGTCGTCTTCACTCTCAATGGCTGTTACTAGCCACCCGGACATTCGTCCCAACGATACTACTTTTCCCACTGAACCCCCCAATTCCGCAACTCCTGCTAGCAATGAAGCAGCGATGGCAACACCTCTTGGTCCAAATACCGGTGCTGCCCAACCTCTTAGGAATTATGCCCCTTCGAGACCTACCAAATTACATCTTCAAGTGCCAAAGTCTGCTGGCACGCCTATTCGTCTGGCAACTCCGCCTCTATTGCTAGTCAATGGGCAAAATGGTTCAGGCGGGAACCCCGATGCAACACGGACTCATTCTGGAGAAGTTCCTCAAAACACTAATGAGGTATCCTCTCCATTTAGCTTGACGCTTGAGCAAGTTGATGACGCTCTATCTCGTGAAATACAAGGAGCCACTCTATTCGGAAGGACAACTCCTCTTAGTCCTGCCGAATCACGGGCCATTGCTCATGCAACTATCCAACAAATCAAGGCACAATGCCACCCAGATGCCCCTCCCAGCACTGTTGCCAGCTATTGTGTCTTCTCACTTGGTCTCGGCCACAGGCTTGGCTTAGCCTGCAAGGCCCCTGATCAGATGAAAATCAGAATCGAACCGGGCATGTCCGATGATACCATTCGCGTACATTGCCCACCAGACGGCCCTACAAGCAACGATCCCAGTGGGTCATTTTCCATTAGTTATACCCTTTCTTACGACTTTTCTCCTACCCCTGGTGTTACATCCCAGGTATCTATACGGGGTAATGCTCCATCGCAAATGACGCTGGGTGAAGACAGCACAGCTCAATATGGCCATGGCCACTATAGACATGGGGATCAACGTACAGCAACTGGGATTGAAGAAGGGTTGTCTGATGATGAAGCTAGTCTTGACATGGGCATGACCGCGAGGGACTGGAAACAGCGATACCTGCTCCTACGGCAACAAACCCGCAAGAAAGATGCTGCACTTCTAAAATATAAAAAACAGATCCTCGAGGCTGTCATGACAGATCCATGACATTAATTCATTTGCCTTTCCTTATTATTTATACACTTCCTTGCGGTTTCTCTCCCTTCTCTAGTTTTAAGTTTTCCTTCGAAGGCCTGATACCCAGTGCTAAGCTGTTTTGGATTTTCGATATGGAATTCTGAGCTTTATACCCCTTCCCACATCCGAAGTTCTGTATTATTACTACTTATTTAATTTCAGACTTCCATTCTTTTCCCCTGGCTCTTTCCTGACTTATCTCCTTGGACTTCTCTTGTGGGTATTAATTTGTTTTAATAACGGAGGGTCAAAATCGGTATATATCCTCATTGCTTCAATATGTTTCTCCCTAGAGCGATCAAGCATATCTACCACCATGCTCCATAACAAAACCAACCTATGCGGGGAAATTACAAGAGGATAAATGCATGAATAAAGTAAACTCTCCTCCGAAGCTCCTCAATTCGGGGTTCGGGTCCGGCCATGTGCAGCGCTTGTGATCTGTGATTGCTAAATGAAGGCAAATAAGCGCATATGCGACAGCGACATCCTTTACACGACCTGGTTTTCAATCATCTCGTTCTCGTGCTTGACCATGGCTCCAGTGTTGCAGAATTCCTTGAAAATTGCATCCTCTGACTCCTTATCGACAGCAGGAACAGGCAAGAATGGGTCATTCTTCGTACGCAGCGGGAGTTCCTCCTCTACCTCGTCATTATCAGCTTTGACAGACGCATCGGAGTCCACAACCTTTTCTTTAGACTTGAATTTCTTAGTGGGGCTTTCGTTGTTGGCTTCTCCCTTGTTGGTCTTGCGCTTGGTAGGAGTCTTAGGCGCTCCGTTGGCCTTGGGCTTAGTCGGAGTCTTTCGAGGCGTTTTGGGCTTGGTCGATGCCCCGTTCTTCTTGGGAGTCACGTTTGCGGATCCAGGCGCCCCGTCCTCGTCCACTCCCTCGCCGGACGATGGATGAATACCATTGCCCTTAAGGATACGCTCATAGCGTTTTGCGCTGAGGTGACTCTTATCAGCATTCGCCAGCTAATGTCTAGGTGCCAATAGACTCACGCTGCTCCCTTGCTGACAATACCACATTCCTCGGCGACCGCAGCGAAATCGACCTATCCGTCGTTAGACCTGAATGCATACGGAGGTGACTGTTTTCCACGGAGCTCACACGCTATACGAGAGTGAATGCTTACCTTTCCATTATTGGAGTACTTGATGCACTTGATCAAGAAGATATTCGTCTCTTCAGCTGAAACACAAGACATCTTGATTGTAGATTATTGGTTAATTCGAATACCGAGAGGGTTGTTTGCGCTATAAGTGGGTATCAGCTGCTGCCGCGGATCAAGTATAATAGATGGACGTGGTTAAGAGAGGAAGCCAAGAGAAGAAAAGGAAGGAGAGGAAGAAGAGGAAGAAGAAGAAGAATGAAGAGGCCAACTTGAAGGAAGGAGAATGATTTATGGGGGTATAAAAGAAGAGAAGCATGTGAGAATTCAGATGTGAGGATTCAGTTGGTGTAAATCTGAGAGTCAAAACACTGAACTATCACTTGGTACCAGGCAAGGTCAGGAAAGCTGAACTATTAGTTTCAGGGAGATGCAGTGAGCTGTGAGTGGTATAGAGAGTAGCCTTCTCCTGAATTTTAACCAGGAAAAATCAGGAAATGTAGTTTGTTTAGTTCTTTGCTACTAAAAGCCAAGGTATAATATAGAGGGATATAGTTCTGAACAGACAAGTCCCATAAGGGAGGTGGAGATTAGCAAACCTTTCTCTGCTAATAGCTGGATACCTTTCTTACAGGAAGATGAAGATACCAGGTAGCTTTGAGAAGAGATGATCTAGTTTGTAGAAAAGGAAGAAAGGAGGGAAGAAAGAAAGAAAAAGAATACCTTTTATAGCAGCAGCAACAACAACAACAACAACAACAACAATGAGGCGCGTTAGGGCCAGGAATGAAAGAAACGTAGACGCGCTACGCAGCAACTGTGTAAGCGTAACTAGCAACCAAATCTCTATGGGGTATCAGGATTTGCGTAATTGGACTACTCAATAGATGAAGAAAAATAAAGAATAATGAAAAGAAAGAGTAATGGTCACTTCAATTGTAGTTGTGCTATGTAGACTAGACCCAACCGGATATCCTGGCCCGAAGTAGAAGTCCCAATTTAATCATATCCACTGTCCAAGGAAATGGGAGAAGAACTTGCGCGTGGTATAAAACCAAGCGTCACAGAGTAGAGCTGCTCATAGAGAGCAAGAGGTATTAACAATCTCCGTGATAGCAAGTTCCTCGGATGAGATAGTCCATAAAAAAAAGTAGGAAATAGAAATTGAGTATTAAATTTTGATGCCGATGGGCTCGCATTGAAGGAGACTGACAGAGCGTGAGTCGAGAAGATCTAGGATAAATTTAGTGAGGTTGAATATAAGCAGGAAGGGGGAAGTCATACCCTGACGTCAATGCAGTACCACTTAGACATCAAATTCTTACGCAGCCTCTTCCTCAGCTTCCTTCGTAGTTTCGGGAGCCTCAGTAGCTGTCTCATTCTCAGTCTTTGGCTCCTCGTTTTCCTTGTTGGTTTCGGAAGCTTTGCGCTTCCGTCCACCATTTGCTGCGGGCTTTCTGCCACGTTTAGCAGGGCTTCCAGCCGCCTTCGAATCTTCCCCATCAGCTTCAGGTTTGGCCTTGATCGGCCCACGGGCTGCCTTGGCTCCCTTACGAGGAGTCTTGGGAGTAGTAGCTGGTGAAGGGTCCGTGCCGGTTTCCGCGCCCTCGGGGACGCCAATACCCCATTTCTTTTTGATCGCGCGTAGACGATTCCCAACCGATGCAGGGTTCTTGTACCCTAACTTCTCCGCCATAGCAGGCAGATCCACCTAGAAAGGCAAAACCGTGAATGGTTGGCTTTGAAGGTAGGTCATACGTATTGTTGACTCACATTGAAGGGTCCCTGGAGATACTTGAAGCATTCGGCCATGAAGGCAATATCAGTCATTTGTTTGTTGCCTGCCTCGGCGGAGTTCTCAACATTGTCTGCCATTTTTGACTACTCGTCGTAGATGAGATATTGTAAAGAAGTAGTCAGAAGCAGCAAGTTGATGCTTGTATGTGTATTGGAACAGTCAAGTTGAGGCTGGCGTGCTAAGAAGAAAGAGAAAAGGAGAAGAAGAAGAGGGGAAGAAGAAGGGGGGAGGTGGGTTTTTATAGTGAGAAATCTCTGAGGAGGTACTAAAACGGAACTTTTCTTAGTGCGAGTGCGCCCAGTACGTGTAATCAAGCTATAGCCGACTTCGGCCTCATAGAGAAGTGATGGGAGTCCAGGTAGCAAGTGATTTCACAAACATTGAGGCCAGCTGCCTCTCAAACTGAGGGGCAGGGAAGCAAGAAGAAGAAGCTAGGCATTTCTAGATATTCTCTCTCATTGTTGATCTGTATATGCTTAGATCACGGGCTGAGAAATGCTAGCTATAGTGACATAGTGAAAGCTGCATGTCATGTCGGGTATTTGCCTAGTCACAGAGTAGAGAAGTAGTTTTTTCCCTGGACTATTTGATATTGACAGTGTACGTGGAGATATTAGTGATCTCTCATCAAACAGGGGCCTAGTAAGAAATATCACTATAACTTTGTCTAGAAGAAGGTTGATATCAGGTATAGCCAGTATTTCTGCTGGGCAGCCGGCTGTCCTCGAGCACAAGGGCTTTAAGACAGAGACAACGCTTCCAGGTAAGAATAGATGATTCTCTTTAGAAGAGAAAGGCTAATCTTCTTGTATTTCGACTGAATTAAAAAAAAAAAAAAACATGCTGCATCTTGCAGTCCCTATGGCATTCATGATGGTTACGGAGAGAAGACAGAAAGATGAAACTGCGAAGACATGAAGTCCTTTTTACCTAAAACAGCAGTCCACGTGACACTCACTTTGTCTTCACAGTAAAAAAAAAATAAGTTGAACATTTCACAAATTTGGTTCAGCTTTGATAAAGAGATCCTGCATCTCAATCTCACCATCAGCTCTTTCGCTCTTGACCTGGACCCAGTTCTCTCCAAAGGGCGGTGCGGAATAGCCGATGACTGGCTCCGAGACAAAAGAAGGAGCTGTCAACTCTGCTGGTGAGACAGTTGAGAAGTCGAAAAAGGGGCTAGGATTCGGAATTGCTGCGTTCTCGAAACACCTGGGGACAGCCTCCATGCCCGGCGGATAGAAATACTGCGGCGAAGGCGGAGGCGGAGGCGGTGCCGAAGCTGGCTCTGACATTCCGACTTGAAATTCCGGTTCTGGCTTCACTGGCAGTTCTGGCTCCTTCTTGACCGTTGGGCTAGCACTTGCGGTGGGAGATCGTTCTTTGCTCTTTATCGGCTCGTCAAACATGGCCTTCTTCGACTTTGCAGTTTCCGCCTTGGACTTCTTTGCACGAGGCGTGCGGGCAGCTGTTGTATTGCCTTCCATGTGTTGCCGGAACCGTGAGAAGCGCATTCGGGCTGCGTGGCCGTTGGTAATTTCCAGCTGAGAGGCAACCAAGTTCCAGTCGATCTGGTGGCTAAGTATTAGCTAATTGCTCAGAGAGTCCGTTTAACCATTGGATATATACCCCGGGTGTCTTACTGATTTCAAGTCCAGCTGCTTCAGGATTGTGTATAAGAACTTTGTTGTTTGGCCATCTGCCGGCATAGTTTTGCTTCGCTTAACCGTTGCCATGGTGTAAGGCAATAATTCAACCAAACGCCGGTCTATCGGGGGCTCGATATAGGAGAATCGACTCAGGCTAAAGCTAGAGTATGGAGTGACTTTAAGTACTGGTGGATGTAGGTATCCTGATGGTCAGAGAGATTCCTGATATGAACATTGATGAATATATGTGCAATCTCAGCATAGAAGAGGCAGGGTAGTTATGTCTTCTCACTCTGTAGCTTTTCTGCTCTATACCATATACCCTCTAGTTTCAAGAAGGATCCAGCTATACACTAGGCTTGAAACCCATGATTAAAGCTTTGTCGGGGCCTCCTTTGATGCCAGTATTTGTTATGTGCCCCCAATTATAACAAGAACACAGCCCTTTGTGTTTCCATGCCAACTCTGATATTTTTTGCTCTCCCAGCCGCCCCATTTTTCTTTTTGACAGACTAGACATACCTGCCCAAGATCTACCTTTAATGAAGCATGGATATGCTTCTTGTCCTTAAATCTTCTACAATGCACCACCACTCTGTCCACCCATGATATCCATTATTTCTAGAAACATCCTCTACAATACTAGATACTTCTGGCTATAATAGAAACATTATTCCATATCTGACATAGTGTGTTTTCTCAGTTTTGTTGTGTTATGCATTTCTAGTTCTCCCTACAATTACATGAATCGAGCTCCCCAATTTGGCCGTTTATCGAAGATCGAAATATATGCAGTTGGTCAGAGAGGCGAGAATTCGTAGAAGTTCACTCCTCACTTTCAAACTCCTCTGCGTGTTCTTTTTTGACCTTCTTAGCGTCACCAGACTCTTCATTGGAGTTGTCCTCGGCTGCGCGCTTTTTGGTGGCCTTTTTACCGGCAGACTTGGATTTCGGAGTTGTCGGAGAGGCGGTGTTGCTATCAGTGACCATTGTCTTGATTCTTGCTAAGCGGCGCTGGATTGCAATTGCCGTGCATCCTGGATGTCAAGTCAGCCATGTAAACGTTCAACGTACTGCAAAGACGAATATAGCCAGGCGTTAGGCATACCATTCCCCATAATGTTGGCTACTGCTTGGTGGTCCACCTTGGGGGCAGAAGTGGAAATAATTGCGAATAGCAACTATTTCGAGGTTTTGATTAGCCCAATTGTTGACCTCCTCAATGGCTGGCAAGTACTTACTTTCATATGTGCTTTTTCATCCCACGTAATCATCTTGAGAAGTAATATGTAGTATGAGTTACTCAAGATTGGTTTGGAGTAGGTAGTTTGCTAACAGGTCTAGATATTGAGGCTGCTGGTTGCTAGATTGTTGTGAAAACAAGAAGAAAAAGTCTTTAGCTGTGAAAGAAATGTATAGGAGCCTTCTAGTATACCATCGCTGCGGTAACAACTAAGATAGGGTATAAACATAGCTTCACTACGGTCTAAGCCTATAAGAGCTATAGACAGGGCTCCTAGATATTGTCTTAGGCTGAACTATGATATCAACTGGGATTGTCAACTATTTACAGTACATTAGACATGCTATGTGTCTCTCGATTTTCCCTTGCGTTATTCATTTCTACTTCTTTCTATAAATACATGCATGGGGGCGTTCTCTTCTAGCTTTTCGTATATCGAAGACCAGATATACGGCTGTTGACTAAACGTAGAAGAATATGTTCACTCATCCGTGTCAGACTCCTGCACATGTTCTTGTTTGACCTTCTTGATATCTCCAGGCTCCTCGTTAGAGCTGTCATTAGCATTGCGCTTTTTGGCCATCTTTCCATGTCCGCCACCAGCTTTGGAATTTGGGGTCTTAGCCGGAGAGGAGGATGCACTGTTGCCCTCATCAGCCTTCAGTTTAATTCTGGCTAGTCGATGTCGAATGGCGTTCGGCGTACAATCTGATACAGGGTTAGCCACTTGAATTATTTGGAAGGACTGCAATGGAAAAAGGTTGCTATACTCATACCATTGCCAATAATCTTCGCCACTGCTTCGTAATTGATTTTGGGCGCCGAAGTTGAGATAATTGCAAACAAAAGCTATTTTAGTGTTTATACATGAGTTACCACGTCCTAAGCATGCCATGAATTCATAATTACTTACCTTTGCATCAAGCTTGTCATCCCACGTAATTCCCCTTCCCATTGTTGGTAGCTCAAATTGGTTCTATAGTGTTTTCGAACCTTTTGTAAATTATGATAGGATAAATAACTCTTTAGAGGCTCGAGGATTTCCAGCTATGATAATTGCTTGTAAAAATAAAGAAGGAGAATATATTTTCTTTGCTGTGAAAGAAATATTACCTTTAGCACATCATCGCCATAGCAACAACCAAGGATAGGACATCAACATCTCCATATTACAGTCTAGCCCCAGGAGATAATGCTTTCTAGACACTTTCTTTGGCTTGGAGGTATAAAATCAACGTAAGTGATCAAATCTTGTCCGATGCCAGACGTATCAGGGGGTACTAACCACCCTTAGGGCAAGCGGAAAGGAGGATACATTCCCTCGACTATACTTCATACTAGGCCAACAGGTAAACAAGTCTGACTTTTGTGCATTGTATCTTAAAACCTCTATAGCTCTAGAGTTCTTATTGAATGCAACAAAAAAAGTATATATTTAATGTTTTTTTCATAGTATTGAATAAATGCTAATCTTAAATAGACATGGAAGAAGTCAAGGGGCATCAGGTCAGGGTATCTGGGAGGGTTTAACAGGGAACCAAAACCGGAAAGTATTTGTTTCCTGTGCTCCAAGAAAAATGGCGAACGTATGCTGGGTCTAAAGAAAATTGGCTATGGGTTTCATGTTCTAAATATTTCTCATGCAACTGCTCGACTGATGATACGAATAAATGCATATGAGCTCTGCGACAAGGCAAATGTGGGTATCAAGTTAGGCTAGCACAAGGCCATTCATGTGGCCAGATGTTGTGAATATGAGTTTGGCGTATACCGCTGGCAACTGGATGATATCTGAAGAGATTCTTAGATGATCAGAGAGGTATAGAAACTAAAAGGAACGGAAGGTTTAATCAGTACGATAGCCCTTTATCATTCCTTGTGTCGAGAAGCATCCATCTCCCAAACTTGAGAGGTATCAGGCAACTCTGCCATGGGCGGGTGCTGGTTTCCGTATCCTACTGCCCCTGTCTTTTCTGGTTCCATTATTGTCGGTATTGAAGCAGGCGGTGCATACGGTGGTCCGGTTACAGGTGACGTTGGAAGAGAGTCAAGTTCTTGGAACCCATTTTTTGGCGGCCGAGGGGAAAATGGGTCTGCGGATGTCTCCGGAGGCGGGGATGCTGCCCTCGCTTTCCGCAATCGAAAAATGAAGTAGCCAAAGAATGCCAATCCTCCTACACCAGCTATTGACGCAATGACTGCCCCAGCAATTACACCTCCAGATGTAGGTGGATCGCCATGAGGGTGCTTTGGTCGATGTGTATTACTCCCAGTCTCAATCGGCGTCTCTGTTGAAGTTTGTGTCGTTGAACCAGTTGTAGGCGTATTTGTGACCTCAGTTGTTGGTGAAGTTTTCTCAGATGACAAGGTAGAGGTGGTTCCCGTAGATGACTCTGTAGATCCGGAGGATGATGTCTCCGTTGGTGTGCGTGTTGTACTTGTCCCGCCGTCTGTGTTGGTGCGTGTCATAGATGTAGTCTTGTCCGATGCTGTTGATGACGATGGTTCTGGAAGTTCATCGCCTTCCTTGTTAACTAAGAAGGACTTAACATAAGATTGCCCAAGTTTTCGAGGCCCCCAGATGGGACATGACCAGCCGTTGCGGTCTGCACAATTGTCATCCGCGAATAAATTGATACAGTATCGACCTGATGTCTTCGGGTCCCAGCTGTAAATCTTTCCCTTGTCCATATTTATTTTGGTACAAGAATGTATCCCAGATCCAGTCTCGACATGAGCGTCATTTTCTGTATCATGCCACACAAACGACCATGCGTCCGCCGCGCTTATGAACAAAAACGCTCCAAGGACAAAATGGCAAAGCAGAGTTATTCGAAAAGCCATATTCCGTATCGGTTATTGCATCACCGTGATAAAAAAAATCAGTTGATAACCCAAGAAAGTTAGATTTATTCGGGGTTGCTTGACTTGATTCTCTGATTTATGAAATATGGATACACATCAGAGGAGAAGAAACTGTGCTCATGAAGGAAGAGTTCCAAACAGAGCCGCAATGGGAATTTCATAAGGAAAGCAGGTACGAGCTGCAGGGGAATTCAGCATCGTAATATGAAATCCCAAGGGCCGATCAGCACACTAAGTTCAAACATCCCAAAGCGAGCCCCAAGGAACAGTCAGGTCAAGTCGCTCCACCACAACCACGCGCCCTCGGCTTAATGGTACTGTCCAGATGGGGGATGTTCGTATCCTGGAATGAAAGATCCACAGTATAGCAATTGGAGAGACCATCATTTCCTTCAATCAGCCTAGAGCCTAAAGATATCCCGCACTAACACGAGATGTCGCTTCAACTTTGGGCTCCGTCGGAGCCCGTCCAGAGCGGAAAACGAGCATGGCTGTCAAGAGCTCGGGTTACTTTCGCCCCCGACTCAGATCATGGCAAGGCAGCATCCGGTAAAACCCTTCATTATCGTGCTCTCGAAGGTATTGATATTCACCATTGCTCCTTCATTCAAATGAATCTGGATGGTTGTCGCGATATCTATTTGAGGTCACATCTTGGAATTTTTGAAGGTTGAACTCGCAAACTTTCTTTCACGGGCAAAAAGGGGGGGCGAGTCTGACTAAGCAACCTACTTTCTAAAAATAGCAACCAACGACATCGACGAGGATGAAGAAAAGGAGTATACGGAGTACATACCCAGAGCAATCCAGGCATAAAAGTTGATGAGACATCCACAATCCTGAAATATATACCCAGAGTGTATGTGAAGTAATGAGTCGTTGGCTGTCTATAGAAACCCATCGATGGTTCTAAGAGAGATGCTTTAGCCTGCAACCCTCACCATGACCATACGGGACCAAAGGTATCGTGGAATATGTGCACTAGCTCCCCGTACATGACGGACTTCGAACCAGAGGGCCGTTAGACTGTTACTTCCATTTTTCATACAGATAATATATCCATGACCTGGAACGGGTACCGTCCCAGTTGTCATAACCCAAGCTGAGCACCCTTTTTGCCGCTCTCGAGGGTAGCACAGAGCCACAAACCGGATCTTCCGGTTTCAATTGGATATTTGATTATGAGTTTCTTGAAAACTACTCGAGGTAGCACTTTAGCAAAGGCTCTTGGGTATAACACTATTGTGATGATCATTACTGCATAAAGTATACCTGGCTCAACAACCGAAGTTTTCCATAAACTCATGGCAATTAGCATCCGCGGGAAAACTATCTAGTAGTATTTTAGCGCTGTTAACAATTCAATGCTACCATGGTCTACGATACGGCAAGATAACGATAGCTACTGTTCAAGGACTTTGTATCCACCCTCTATGGAATCACGTTTGTCCACCACAGAGTAGTATCGGGACATATATTGGCCAGAAAATATCAAGAGACTCTGGTACGTCGATTTATTAATCGCATCTCGCCTTAAATTGAACTTCCACGCCTACTGTCAAAATTGAAATCACGAGGACCGACGAGTTCAAACGAAAATAGACCATATTGGCCGTTTGAATTTATCCTGATAACTGAAACATGCCCCTATTGGCTAAAGCTCGCGTCGCTATCGTGGATAATTGAGTGCGGCTGTACCTTGCATTGCAATAATACCAGAGGCCAAGAAACAAAAGAAAAGTAAAGAAAATTTGACTGGAAGACGGTATCGCCGTTGCCTCGACTATGCCTCGCCAGAATATGATACCAATTGACCATTTGAGGAGAACCTTACTTCTTTCCTGAAGATCACATCCGGCGTCGCGCGTTGTCGAGATTAAACAATTTCATTTTTAACGAAGCCATCAATGAAGTCGTCATCGTCTTTGTCATCTCCATCTGCGGGAGCGAACTCGCTGACGCCGCTTTCATACTTCATTGCATCTTCCTCGTCAGCATCTCTTTCATACTTAATCATTCCTAGGGGTAGGGTGGGATTGGTTCTCACGCGTTTACCCAAAGGTCGGTGCGTGAACACGTCTTCGAATTCCGCGTTAGAAACCAGGTTCCCATCAGTCATCTCTTTTTTCACTGGCCCTCCATTGTTTGACGGGGTTGGGGTGCGAGGAGAACCATTTTCTCCACTCATATCTTTCTTCGGGCCTCCAGTGCGAGCCCGCTTGGTGCTAGACTTTGAGCCTCCAGCTCCGCGCTTGCGAGAAGCAGGGGTTGTGGGGGCTGAAGTGCCATTTTTGGCCGCAGTAGCTTTCGCGAGTGCGCGAATTTTATGGATTCGTTCGGTGATAGCACGAGGCGTAGGACGGGCGTCCTCGTTTTCAGCTGCTATTTGCAATGTTAGACGGGTGCTCATTCAACAGACATACAAAGTATGGTTGCTAACTTACGCCATGCTTCAGAGATCTTCTTCGGGTCCACGCTGATATCATGGGTCTCAATGAACTTGATTAGAAGCTGTTTACGCGACCAATGGGTTAGCAATGTGGCTAATCAAATAGTCAAGCCATAGTTCCAACCCGACAGAGAGGAAGAATATATATATCGAGTATTCTGCCAAAAGACAGGTTCTAGTGAGTTGAAAACAACGGCATGCAGAAGAAAAGTCAAGGGTATAATGTAAATGGTATTACCATCTGATCATTCTCGCTCGTCCAACGGACAGGCATCTTGCTGGTTTGTGGGTGTAAATTTGAGAAGTAGTCAAGGCTAGATACTGCAGAACAAGCGGTTTGTTACCGGTGAGTTTAACCAAATTTGAGGTGTAAATGAAGTGCAGCTGAAGAGAAAAGAGTTGATAGTGGAATTGGTAGCAGATGAAGAGGAAGCTGGTAGAAGAAAAGACCAGACTGTTGTGAACTTGATAGCAAGGAGAGTGGAAGAACAGTGTGAAAGGAAGAAAAGAAGAAGAAAGGGGGTTTTATATGTGTGGTTACTAGGGCGATTTAGTAAACACAAGCTTAGAGTAAGAGGTAGATGACGCTGCTTCTGTGTTGCTAGCTTAGCGGTTAAAAGAAAGAAACCAAGTTAGCAGCAATATAGTTTGTAAGTTACGAGTTTTTATTCTTCAAATCTCAAAGGGAAGATATAAGTCAGACAAAGGTACAAGAAATACAAGTACCTAACGTTATAGTGTTGCTAGTTTCCATCAACTTACTTTGTAAGAGGCTTCCTAATATTAACTAAGGTTGATAGTATAACTAGTGCAATGTATTACCCCTATTTAAAGTATTCATACCCTTTAGCTAGTATCAGCTTAAATTCATCCTAAATAGAGTAAGAAAAAAAAAAAAAAGAAGAAGAAGAGAAAGCTGCAAGCAGTTAAACAAAATATAGAAGTTGAATAACTAAAGAATCTTTTGATAGAGGCCGAAAGCTTAAACTGGTTAGGCGTACCAACAGAAACCTTAAATAAACCCCAAACCTCGCTTCCTAGACAAACATCGAACCTCAAGTCGAACGTCTATGCCAGAATATAAAAGGCTTATTGTTTACCTGTCACTTAAATACCACAGAATCAGTCAACACAGTCTATAACATGTATCTACTTTTGTAGTAGAGAATCCCTTCTATGGCTTAGTTACCCCGCCTTGACCCGGCCCGCAAACCCGCACGCGGTTTGTCTGCCTAGCTCGAGGAATGGACTTGGTTACGTACCTAGCAGATGAGATCCCCTCTACTTATACAGTCTTCTGATAGCGATCATAGCTGTATCTGAATATCTTATAACTTTCTGCCACTCCACCCTTCATACCCTTGATATTGGCTGCATTCTGTTGTTGTTATACCCCTAGTCCTGGATAGTCGCGTTTTTACCCGCGAATATACTTCTCCAGGGCAGTATAACCAATTGGATATCGGTGTTATTACCCGTCGCTCTCTACATTTCATTCTTACTTATAGCTTTATATACCACATGCTAGCTATATTATAGATATGGATTTTTTTTTTGAAAAAAAAAAAAAAAAGGATAAAATCTATACATTGAGCCAATGCCTTGGGTTTACTCGCGAACGATTTACATACTCTATTACCTAACAGTCAAAGTAAACTAGGCTCCTGGTCGTTTGGGGATTGCCTTTATTAGGGATCCAAGATTCTTTGGAATTGGCGTTCTATGGCAGGACTCTGTATGCCCAAGACGACTGGATATGTTAGTTCTGTAGCTCCCTACAACACGCTAGTGAGTTCGCAGACTTTCCACACAAATAAGTAACTACTGACTTCTACTTTTCTCAGCTTCATCACCCAACCTCTACAGAAATATGTACCTGAAGCCAACCACCACCAGCACACTATTGCCCACACTCTTGCTATTCGGTATACCATGGTGACCTGGGATAAAGCCAACATTGAGAGACTGATTGCAGCACTGCTCGCTGCACATCCGGAATTCAGCGTAAGTTACCCTCGATCAATATCCTTTCTATCTCGAATGTAGCGAAATTCCAAGCTAATATCAGTTTTATAGCCTGACTACCGCAAGATGGCGGTATATTTCGGTCAGGGAGCAACATATGATTCAATTAACGGGCAGTTCAGGAGGTTTCGGCAAGATGCGAATAAGATGCGTGGTTCTGAAAGTGGCACTGTCCCGTCAACGCCCAGTCGCCGGAGGAATGTAGCCTCATCAACCCCCCGCAGCGGCAGAGGTGCCATAACCAAGTCAGGATCCGCTAAAAAACCAAACTACAGCAATTCTAACATTGAGACACCCACCAAGAAGCGGGAATCGAAAATGGACAGCAACAAAGACGATCCAATAATCCTGGACGATGATGAGGAGAGCGTCACTACACCACTTGTTAAGCACGAAATGAGCGAAGTAAAACACGAGAATCCTGTTATCAAGGAGGAAGCGAAAGCGGGGGAAGTCATCTCCATGACCGATATGTTTTCAGCCGCCGCCTCTGCTAATAATGAAAATCCTCAACACGAGATTGCCGCGACTGGCAAGTCTCCAGCTACTGCCTTTCCTTCCGACACTCCACATGTGCCAGACGAAGGCCATCTCTCTATGCCTCTACCCCCAAATCGCGTGTTATTTTTCAACTACGATGACGATGAAGATATAATCGTCTAAGGAGATACTCGGAAACTCAGAATTTCAGTTGGTGGGTTCTGTGACAATGTGAACTTATTTTCCTCGTGGGATTCGATCCATGATTTTGATGGCTTTTTTTGTCGGTGACAGTGCGCAGATGTGACAGTCTGATACTTGTGGATTTTGTAGCTCCTAGCTGCAAATTTGGTTGTGTTCTGTCTATCGGCCTCTTTATTGTATCTATCCAACACAATCAATGTTCCCAATATGTTAGCGGCAGTCGTATCTCTATTTAACTGCGATTTTCAAATAGTATGAAACTATATCCCAATAACGTAACGGATCGAGTCTCATGTGCCCGACGTGAGGTGATCCCTGGAACTTCTCTCTTGATACATGGAAGCCCTTATCTTCTGCCTGCAAGGAGTGTTCCTCGACATCTCTCCAGGAGATCAAGTCGTCCGTCTCAGAGTATATATAGCACCGTTCCACCCGGCTATCGATAAGTTTGGTATCAATTGACGCGTTCCACGCGAGCTCAGTGGGTAATTCCAGGCCCAACAGGCGGCAGTAGGCAAAGGCCCATAAGAGCGCGATATAGACAGCCGCTCCCGCGAAGAGTCGAGGGATTAAGGACTTCGGCAGCCCGTATGAAACTGCCCTATGGGCCCCAGATAAGGTAGACTGCCCGGGACAGCTGTCCATTATGAGAGATTTTAGCGGCAGCGGCTTTTTCGTTGCTTTTTCATAAGCCACGGCGATGCTTCGGAGAGTCACACAGCCACCGTTCGAGAACAGATGGAGATGTAGCCGATCATCGGAAGAGAGTCCAGGGGACGAAGCAGAGGCCGTTAAAGACAGCAAGACATCCACTACTGGCTGAACTCGCCGTGTTTGAGAAGCCTCGGAGGTGTTCAGGAATAGGTCGGAGGAAGACGTGAGAACAAATAAAATCCGTGCATTGGGGGCGAGTTTTGTATATTCGGAGATATATTTGCTTGCATAACGTAGCTGTGCGTCCATCCAGAATAGAACCACGATTGTAAGGCGAGACGAAGTCGTGATGGCTGCTCTGCTGTGTTCAGTAGTGTTACTGTTCGCTGCCCCATCACGAAGCCAGATTGAACGGCCGATTTTGACAAAGGAGAAATCTATCAACGAGGGCAGTTTTTCCAAAGGAGAGGCCATCTCGAATGAGCTGGGTAGTCGTAGGATTTCTGTCCCTTATCCCTTATATTTTATCGAGTCTTGATTGTAGTCTATAATCTTCCTCAAACTATACGAAGAACGGTGGACACCACCGGCTAGGCTAACTGCGCCAGAGGCCGGCTAATATATAGTATCTACTGCGTCATTGGGGTTTGAGGACCCTCTAGAAAATGGCTAAAAAGACATCACTGATGGCGGCATTCAAGCGTTCACTGATCTACAGTTGGAAACGGTGATGCAAACGAGACGGTATGTGCAGCAAGGGATATTATTGACACACGACAGCGAAGAAACGCCATGGCTCATGAGGGAGAACAAAGGTAAGGGGAAAAGTATGTTCGATGGGTAAGGGTACAGGCAAGTTAAAATCAGAATAGCCCCTGATATCTGTTCCTTTTTTTCCTTCTTCCCAGTTTTACTTCGGGCGGCTTGACTTTCCACCCAATGCCCGGCCTTTATCTTTCTTCTCTGTGTCACTGCCAGAGGCTGGAGTGGCCTGCCCAGCCAGCCCTGATCCTTTCTTCTTTGCTCGGAGAGTCTGGCCTGTGCCCAAGAACTTGGGCTGTGCGCCCGATTCCGGACTTTCGTCGCTTGAATCCTTCTTATTAACCGGGGTAACTGCATATCCAAAGAAAAGTTTTCCGGGAGGTAGCCTCAGTGGCTGTGGGCCGTTTGATCTTCGAGTGGGAGGTGCAGGAGGTGGGTTGCTGGATTTCCCAGATGCAGGGGTTGCGGATTTGGGTGTAGAAGATTTACTTCCCTTCTTCATATTGAGTCGTTGACCACTGCCGTGGAAATTAGACGAAGCTGCGTTTGCTGCTCTCGCTGCATCGTTTGACTCAGGGGCTATCGCGGCATAATTGATGGATTGCGCCATTGTTCCATGGGAATGAAGGGTTCCGCCTGCAGGCAAGGAGCCAGCAGCACCACTAGCTGGCGTACTTGTCCCGCTCAATCGGTTTGACTCCTCGTATCCCACTGGGGGAGCAAAATCGACCTCTAAATCGGTCTCTAGCACCGAAATAGCGTTCTGACTGGTTTCTGGTTTTGTCTCTAAAACGGCCATCTCGTATATTTGATCATTGTAGGAAAATGTGAAGATGTCGCCTTTGGTCAGGCAAGAGAAGTTCCGAAAGGCGTTCTCAAGCACGGCTTTAGGGTCACTAATATCGAGAAAAGACGTTGACTGGGCCTGGAGCTTGATTTTAGACCCCGGAGGAAGGTCCGTTGACTTTATCTGTACCAGGTCCCCAGGTTCTAGTAGAAGCGTTTGCATAATCTGTTTTCACCGGTGCCATTAGCCACGGACCACCTCCACGGAGACTACATATCTGTTTCACATACCCAAAATGGCAAGTATATTTTACCCTCCTCAGCAATGAATTCCAGTACTCCAGCATGAGTCATCTGTTGCTTTGCGCCGTTATGTAGCTCGAAAAGCATGGGGTAAGTGATGTGCAATCGTGTGAGCTTATCCAGAGCGCTCGGCGGCATGATCACTTTGCCTCCATGGTTCACGTTCTCACGCTCTGGACCGGGAAGCATAGCTACTGGGTAGCATCGATAATATTCATCAAATCGTCGAGAGGAATGTGTTGGATGGCGCATCATGGAAGGATGCAGGATCCCATCCATAGGGTCGTCATTATAGTAGCCAGCCTGGGAGGTGACAACTTTTAGCCAATAGACCAACACCTCAGTAGAATAATTGGAGACCTCTCACCATTATGAAGATGAAGCCTGTTCCCCAGTTATTTCTTTCTGGGAGTATGCTTCTGGATCTGTAAGAGAGAGGCAGGCAATGAAATTGTGCTTGTACTAGCGGAGCCCAGGCAGCGTAAGTGAGGGACAGGACAAGATACAAAATACGATATGAGATAAGTCGGGCTAGGAAAATATCAACTATGGAATAAGCCGTCCAGGTGCTCGTAACGAGAGGTCCTAGACGTGAGAGCCTTGGGTGGCAGATGTCGATGTTGATTAATAGTCAACACTGGTATTGAACTCTCTGGTGGGAGTGACGCAAAGAAGACAAACAGTGCAAACAAGCAAGTTCAGTCTTCCTGTTTTATCTCCAAGGGCCGGCCCTGAAGCTGTTTGAGTGCCTTTTCTACGACGCGTGCACACAAGCAGTACTTGATCTTGCTGCTAGCTATTGTTTACTTGCTCCGCGCGCAAGATATGTTGTCCTCATATACGAGACAGAAACGAGGAGGCGAAGAGGACGAGTCGGACGGCGCAGAGCAATCCTCGTCCAAAAAGCCGCGATTTGACGTCCGAAACCCCTCTGCACTGGCACCAGATGCCCTGGAGGATGATGCTGTTTTGGATGCGGACGAATTTGGCCACAGGGGCCAAAAGGTTCGTCGAAATGCTGTAAAAGTGGAAGGGTTCGAGTCAGACAGCGAGAATGAAGGATTCGACGCCCGCGCTGAAGCAAAGTCAAAGGCTAAAAAACGGGAGAATCGTGCCGACGACGACGACGATATGTTTGCCGAACTTGAAGAAGACTTTGCAGAAAACGATAATGAAGATGAGACAGGTGGAGTGAAGCATAAGAAGCAGGTTCGGTTCCTAGAAACAGACGAGATAGAGGGACAGGTTAATTCGTCGAAAGCTGGAGGGAAGGTTACCCTAGATACCCGATCAGCTGGCGGAAAAGGAAAAGGAAGAGCTATTGATGAAGAGGAGGAGGATGATAGTGGTAGTGATGTTGGCGACGATGTCCGTGCTGCCCTGCCAACAGACGTGGACAAGGAGCTTGGAGCAGGGAGTAAGAAGCAGCATGCTCCTCTCCTCGACGCCTTCAACATGCGGGCTGAGCAAGAGGAAGGCCGCTTCGATGACGCCGGAAATTACGTTCGAAAAGCAATGGATCCCGATGCTGTTCACGATTTATGGTTAGAAGGTGTTTCCAAGAAAGATATGCGAAAAGCGAAAGAAGCAGCGGAAAAACGAGAGGAGGAAAGACGCCAGCAATCTCTTGCTGCCGACAAGGTGCTGACCAGTGATGTCTTGAAGACATTGATACAACACCTTGATCGAGGAGAGACTATTATCGAAGCTCTAGCAAGGCTGGGCAAAGGGCTAAAGCACCGGGCTAAATGGCAGAATAAGAACAAAAAGAATCAGAAAAAGGCCAATGGCGTAGCTGAGGATGTCGAAATGCAGGAAGAAGACCCCAAGGAAGCAGAGAAGAAGCGGGCTGTGGAAGAAATTACTGAGGCTGCTGATATGCTGCTAAGTCGTGGCCAAACAGATATATACGATACGGAGCGTGAGCTTCTCACTCGCATGTATCAACGGGAAACCGGGGAGCAGTGGGTAGACCCTCCTGGCCCCAAGACAACAGTTGACAATGGTGGAGATGGAGAGGATAGTGAGATGTGGGAGTTCCGCTGGTCGGATTCCCGGGATGGCGGCATAATACATGGCCCTTACGATAAGCCAACTATGCAGTCATGGAGTGGTGCTGGATATTTTTCGGAAGGCGGAGCGGAGTTCAGGGTTGCTGGAAGCTCAGGTCCCTGGAACCCAGGGGATCCATTCTCATGATATCTAGCTAGACAATAAGGGGGGGGCGGGGGGGAATTCCTTTTTTTTGTCATTGTGTACAATAAGTAACTGTTTGACTTTTGCAGATATACCAAAGCGCAGGCGGAATAAACATATAAACGGGCTTTGATTCTATTACGTTGAAGAGTAGATATTACCACCTAAAATCCCTCCTGAAAACAGGGCGGAAGCATCGACGCCATATTTCATTTTGCACAAACACAGCCCATTATGGGAAAGAAGTTTTTAGTTTCCCCTGCAAAGCCCCAACGCGCCGAAACTCGTACAGTACAGTCATTAAAGGAAGGGTCCAAGCGAGTTCCAATGTAGCTCAATCAAGAGACTTCCATGGGATCACCACCGTTGGCGGTAGCTGTTGAAAAGTTGACGTTCCCGGAGTCACTAATAAATCGTTGCTCGAACTCGTTGACAAACTTGACACTTCGTACCGGGTCGTAGAAGAGACTATAGCTGCGTTGGATATCTTCGATCCCGACTTCTTTAGATTTCCGCTTCTGGCTAAGAAGGGTTGATGTTGCGATAATGTTGCTGGCGTAGCGAAGGCCGGATTCCTGGCCGATCTTAGTCAAAAGAGCGAGTGCATCAGGACTGAGGTCAATCTCCTCTTCCTGCGCACGGATGGCAAGAATCTGTTGTATATCTTCCTTTCCATATGGCTGAGTGCTAACAATGACGACTCTGTCGAGGAAGTCTAATGGCAAGCCATGAGGGGACTGGTATGTTGTGCCTCGTATCCTGGTATTGCCTCTGTTGCTTGCCATGATAACAATTGGTGCTAGCTCAGCCTCTAGCGCGCGGTTGATATATGAGAAGCACTCAATATCAAGCATGTGCACTTCGTCGATGAAGAGAACGCCAGGAATAATCTCTGCTTTCCCTTCCTCCTTCCATTCACCGACCTTGGAGTTAATCTGGTCCCGGACTTCGCTCCGAATTTCGCCAGTATCTCCGGAGAAAAGAGCTAGGAATCCCTGGCTTCTCGAATTTATCACGTCGATTTCATGAAGGCTGACTGTGTGAACGACCTCCTTCCGGACCTGAAGTTCACCTTCGGGGCACTGAACGAACTTGGTATCGGGGCCCATAGCATCATAATCTCGCGATCTGGCAAAGGATCGACCCAACTTGGTTATCTTCCCAGCCGCCTTGTCGATAGAGATGACGTCTCCGGCCATGACGCGCTCCTTGGTCATGGAGTCAATCATTTTTGTTCCCATGTCATAAACAGTTTCCATATCCGTAGTTTTAATAGTCAATTTTCCTTGTTTGTTACCCTATCAGCGAGAATCAGTAAGAACTCTTATGCAACGTCTCAGCCGAACATGAAAAGAAGAGCAGCAGCAAAGCCTACCCCCGTAACACTCCGATCAATTTGGATCTCGACGACTTCTCCCTCAATGATCTCGCTCTCCTCCTTTATCCGCACACCGATCGATTTACGGAACGCCTGGGTAAGAGCTTCGGTTTTGGACAGCTCCAGAGAGAAGATTTCGGAGGAAGCAAGCATCGTAAACGGAACATCCGGGCCCAACGACTGTGCCATTCCCATGGCAATGGCAGTCTTTCCAGTGCTAGGTGGTCCCGCAACAAGCACCGCACGTCCTGCAATCTTGCCCTCCTTGACCATCTGCAGTATGACGGCGGCGGCCTTGCGTGCTTTCTGCTGGCCAACGAGCCCCTGCGACGCGGCGCGAGTCTGGAGGGTATCTGGGTCGACACCAAGCCCTCTGATATGCGAATGCGCTGCTACCAAATTGAGGCCTCGGAGGTCTCTGCTTTCAGAGACAGTCGTAATGGGCTGCGTAGGAACTGTCAGTAGTGTTTCTCATGAGAGCTTGAACTTGGAGGAGCCAGAAGCTTACAGCCGCCATTACTGCGAGTATAACTTGTCGCAAACCCTCACTTTGTAACTTCCTTAATCCTGCTGTCCAGCAAGCTGCCTGTCTGTTGATGTGTATCTATGTATTTGCAGTTTCCGTCGTCGTCCAAAAACCAACATCCGCGGACGCCAAGATTATGTAATCAATGCTTCGGATTTTTATTTTGCCGATAATATTTTTATTTTTATTTTCCCTTTTTTTAATTGGTCAGTATTTTCTCTCGCTTTTGTCTCTTTTATAATCGTTTATCGTCCATCTATTAGACTCGCTATTCAACTAAAGGAGCATCATGTTGCGCTTTGTCAAAGAATTTTACCCCCAGCATCATACAGGAATTTGTGGGCGTAGCCCCGGAAACCATCTAGGAAGCGTGTCTTATCACAACAGACGCGCTTCACTAACTCGAGAAGTTTTGTTAGTCAAAGTTACTTCACGTCGCGATAAGCTTAAAAGCTAAAAAAAAAGTCTACTAATATTTTCTAGCTGTTACTATTCTAATGCTGCTTAACACGCTATATCTGCCAGAAACTGACGCTTGCCACTCCTTTTAGAACCCCTGGTTTATTCCATTCCTTTGTTTTTCCCCTTATACTCTTTTTACTCTCAGAATTGGGGCTGATGGCAAAGTGAATGTCTATTTATTCACTTTGTACAGCAAGTTTGGAACTGTAGTTTTTTACAGCTCTTAAATGTTTGCTGTCTTATTTCTTTTACTTAATACTTTCACACATAGAGTACGCGTTGAGTCTGAGCTCAGTAAGTGCTATCATTTATTATTAATAGTGTATCATTATTAGTTGTATAGCTACTGACCTATCTAGATCTAGAATTGAGTCCGTAGCGCCTGAACTCTTATTTGCACCGTCTATAAATATGGAGAGATCCAATTCCAACCTTAACATCCCCACCGGACCTCGCTTCGATCTATCTCGAGATCCTCGCCGTACCCCCCAGAATAAAACTCCAGATGTACAGGGAACTGTAGCCATTCTTAACCAACTTACTGCAGAAATAACTGAGCTCACCCATATCAATCTTGCAAGGAAGCGTATTATAAAAAGACGTCAAGCAGAAGAACAGAGCCTCAAGATAGCCTACGAAAGAGCATTTACCTATCCATCTTATATACAGGGATTGAAGTTAGCCCGGGAAGAGAGTGACAAAGAGCTGAAAATGCTTAATGAACTGGTTAATACCCACAACACAAATAAAGAGAAGATAATTCTTTCTCTAGCACATGCGATCCATTCAGCTCCAAATCAAGAGGCACACTCAGACCATGTGGTAGGCAAGCTAGAGCGGGAGCAGGATGATCTGTGGCATCAAAGTGATAAATATAGATCAAGTATCGCGGGCTTGTCTTCACGCGTTAATGATATCTGTCAAAGGCTTGATACTCTTAGGGATGACGTTGACTCTCTATCAAAGATGATAAAGCGGAACAATACAGATACCCCTCCAGTCAATAAGCCCCAGATAAACAAAGATGATGTTGACTTGAGATTCTCAGAACTTTCATCTGATTTTGAAGCTTTGAAATCCACCTACGAAAGTGCAAACAAAAATAGGGACGACATTCTGCAATCTATAGACAAGCGGGTCAAGGATACGATGACAAGCCTGGCTACAACCAAGGCTGCTCAATTAAATAACGCCAGACAGTCTGAAGAACGTCTGCAGTCTGCTCTAAGGCCTCTCTCGGAGCAGACAAGTGCATTAAAAAGTACAATGGCTGCAAGCGCACAAAAAATTGACAAAATTGAATCGCAGTTGTCTAACCTGGAGAGCACCATGGATAGCACGGTCAAGGAGATGATACCATCTCTCCAAACCCAGGTCGACGAAAGTACTAAAGCTATTCAGCTACATATTGAACGGCCATCAGAATCTTCAAAAACGCCTTCACAATTACCCCCCGACAAAACCCAAGAGAACCTCAAAGAAGATTTACGCCTCTTATCGCAACAACTTAACAACTTTCAAAAGGCTCACGAGGGCAAACTAGAAACACTGTCAAAAGCTGTGGATGATGCTAACCAGGAAGTGTCTCGTACCAAAGGCGTTGATTTTCAGTCCATAGAGCAGAAATACACCCAGCTACATAATCAATTAGCTGGGCATGTAAACGCACTTTATGGCCACCTAACTGGTACTCATACAGCTCTTAACTCCTTGGAAACTCGATATGGCCAACTCGTCACCGAACCAGTTATCCGCCAAATAGTATTACGCATGCAAGAGATGTATCCTTATGCAAGCAAGGCTCAAGCAGAAATTGAATGCCTAATCAACGCTGCGAATGACCACCTTGCACACATTACTTCCCAGGGAACTAGGATCACTTCTTTAGAAGAAGGACTAGCAAAATTAAAGAAAGCCGATGAATCTCTCATCACATTTCTGCGTTCCGAAAGGGCCGAAATAACTGGAAGAGTGGATGCAGTTCAGGCAAAGATAAACGAGTTAGAAAACAGCACTGTCGACACTTTTGCCAACCTTACTGCGGACGTAAAACTCACTACTGAGAAGATCGAGGAGATAAAGCCCCAGTTTCAAACCACGAGTAATGGCGGTCCTTCAGCTCAAATACTTAGCGAAATGAGTGTTAGCTCCATACCCTCCGATTCTCAGCCAGCATCTCAGTCAAGCACAGAACAGCATCGTAATAAGAAGAGAAAACTGGACGAAGAGACACCAAAGCAATAACTGATGACCGTGGAGATATAAGTCGTGTTCCATGCTGGCCGATAACAGTCTTCTTGCTCTGGGTGTTCTACCCGATCCCTTCCATTCCCCTGTACAATTTCTACCTTCTTTTGCATATTAATATTTCCTTTACTATTCCAAATGACACCCACCTTCCTCCACCCTTTCTGGTTTTCTGGAGAGTTTGGTAGTATCGATCAAGCGACGCATCCTAGACATTGAAGACCGTTCTCTATAATATTTCTACGACAGCTTCGTTATTAAACTCCAGACTTTTCTATACAAGGCGACCACAAGTCGAAAAAAAAAAAAACAAGAATGACAGAAGAGAAAAGAATCCAGTTTCCTCCAAAACCGACAGGTATCAAATATATCAAAGGCTTGCATAGCTCAAAGAGCACCAGTCTCCTTAGCTACCGCGTGGATCTGCGATACAAGAGCGTCGACATCATTGAATTTAATGGGTAATCGGTGGTCGCCATCCCATTCCACGAGACGAGTAGTACTCTTCACAAAGGACGAATCGCGCAGGTGTCGATGAAGATAAAGGCCTGGGTCTCGCCGCCCATGGACGTGTATTGTGGGTATGTGTAGGAGTCCACTAGCAGACTTGATATCTTCTGATTGTTCAGTAGTTGAAGAAGCCGAGCTGCCAGGGACACTGCTGTCGCTTCCATAGTCCAGACCCAGTTCTAGTAGGGGGCCCCGTCCATTCATTATAACGCCGAATTTGAAGTCGAATGAATTCTCATCCCGTATGTTTAACTCCGTCTGGACTTGCTGCTTCATCAGAATGCTCGCACTCGTCTTTGCGCCCTGACTAAACCCCAATATGCCGACCCATTTACCGGTTGCTCCTTTGGCATCGTCCTCGGCCATGGCTTCTCGAAGAATCTTTTCCACATAGCTCAATGTCTGTCCGCCAAAGTCCTCTGTGATACCAGGTTTCCAGTTATGCCAGCAGTAGAATGGCGCATAGTCTTCGTATACTGACTCGATGCCTGGTCCTGCAGGGCTGGAGAATGGCGCATCAACGAAGCATAGCCTGAACGTGGACTTGAGGTGAGCCCTCATAACACGACACTGGGTATAGAATACTCTCGCATTTGAACCACCGCCATGGAGACAGAGTATTCGGGGCAAATGGAGTGTTTCTATGTCAGCTGTCACGTCGACTCCCGGCATTGTTAACGTCTTACGGTGGTGTCAGGGCCTTGCCTCGGGCTTCTAATCTAACAAGGCTGCTGGGAGAATATAACTAGTGTTTGTTCGAGTCGGCTGGATAGTTCGGCGGGGCAACATGCGCTTGATAGCTCGGTATTCACTCGGGTCCGCGTTACACCAGACTTCAACGAAGAAGAATCCAGCTGTATTTTCTTGAAGATGTTAGGGCGATTTTCATGAATGGATCAGGTTTGGAGATATATTCTTCTGAAAAGAAAGCCCCGAAGCAGCCGCCTTTCCCGACCCGAGGCTAGTTATAAATAGTAACGACTTACTCGGTGTACGAAGCGGGCCGCAGGATGATGAAGCTGACCAAACGAAAAGAACTTTCCGAGAGGGCTATTCGGAGGGTTTTATGGCCCTTCGGGCACCGATGAGCCTAAGTCCATGGAGTTGGTATTCAGATACCAAATAGAGCCTTTGAATGGTCTCTGAAGATGGGATGAAGAATCATCTGTTCACCCCGAGAACCCAAGGTGGTCTGCCGTGTTCGCGCGGAGGGATCCCTTCGTTGCTATCGTATGGATCAAGATTCATATCCCTTTCTTAGCGAATGGACTGTTAAAGGGTGACCCATGTTTGTTCGGTAAACATTCCCGCCATCGTATTAAGTCCGGGTCTCATTCTTGTTACACCGGTCCAACTATATAAAAATACCAAAACAGCTGCCCGGATGAAATAGATATTTCCTCAGTGATCAATTTCGCATCAATCGAGTTGCTTTACCCTTGTCTTAGCATAGTTAATTAGTCTTTAACTACCTGGGGCCGTTTTTTGAATCCTCAAGACGCCGTTAGCTGAGCCTTAACTAACGGAAAAAGGCCACTTTGATACCCCTGGTAAACCCTGTGCCTTGCTTCTGTGCGAATAGTCAAAATTATCCAAGCTCACATGGAAGCCCACCGCTAGGAATTTTAGACGTGAAGAACGTACTCATTTTGAGCCATTTTTTACCCTCGATATCTCAGGATTGATCGGCTCAATGCCGGGATAGCCAGCGCCCTGCTGCAGTGAGACCGGGAACCCCGGGTGAGGAGTTTCTCGTACTTAAGTGTATATAATGAGAACATGTGTCCTGCATGATCCTGCATAAAGATTTCCTCACATTAACTTCTCTATGAGAATTCTCTGATTTCTTGTTGCATGGACCAGAATCAAGCAAACATGACTGACACTTCCGTGGTTGGCAAATGGTACGACCAGAATGCCATTCTTGAGCACAACAGGCTCATGACCTCCTGTATAGAGTACTCCATAACGATGAGAGTGATAAAGCAGTGTCTTCTGGAGCTTGCAACCAGCTCTGGCAAGCCGATCCGCATTCTTGACCTTGGTGGCGGGACGGGCAGATATGGTATGGCTCCCTTTTTTTCTTCACTTCTCCAGCGAATCGAAGACCCATTTACTGACCCGTATTAGCGGTCGAACTGGCTAAACTGGGGCATATCGTGACTCTCTCAGATATTTCACAGTCAGAGCTGGATTATGCAGCCAAGTTCGCTAGCGACAGTGGTGTGATTCTTGAAAACATTGTCCAAGCAGACGCCCGACATGTGAGAAATAACGAGATCCTCTTTCGAAAGGGTCACTATGACCTTGTCCTTTGCATGGGGCCAATGTATCATCTTCTCGAAGAATGTGAGAGGCTAGCAGTGCTGGAATCGTGCACTTTAATGGCCAAACCGGAAGGATTCGTCATAACCGCATTCGTCACAAAATACGCACATTTGCGAGATATTGCTCAAAGGGATCCCAGACGTCTATGTGACGAATCGGACTTTTACGCTCAGTATCTGTCGACTGGAAAATACACTCGCAATCCGAGCAATATCGTGTCACACCATATCGACGTTGGTGACATACGAGGGCTTTTTGACAAGCTGCAGCGCAACGGGTTGGCAAATATTCGCCTTGAAAGGCTTATTGGGTGTGAAGGGTTTTTAGGGGTGGCCTGGGAGCAACTATTAATCTGAACGACGCAGAGACGTATGAAGCTTGGGTGGACGTTCTGGCTAGATATTCAATGGACCCCCATGTTCTTGGTGCCTCAGATCATATTGCCGCAGTTGCCAGGCGTATTGGGTAGATGGGCATGTCTATGTTAATAGAAAGTGCTGGCGTTTCAAAATTGTGTGGTATAGATATACGCGAAAGTTGGCCATAACGATTCCCGCTATCCAGCATACTGGTCGAATGATAGTGACGCTAAGAATTGCCCTCTAATCGCTAATTTGAACCATGTGAATCCATTTGCTGGGCCGTAGGTTGAGCCTAAAGCTTACCCCTGGAACCGCAGCCCAGATCAAGATATTATCGATATAAGCCTTATTAGTGTGTCCTTTTGTCAGGCATATATACTCTTTCTAGACGATGATCCAAAAAAAAAGAAAAGCCTGCAAACCCCTTTCTCCGATATGGATATAGCATATGGCACCGCTCTTTCGACTCAACTCCACAGGCATGGCTGGTCAGGTCGCCGAGGCTTCCACCGCGAGGAAAGGTGACGGATAAAGAGGTACACTCACGGCTACATGTCTCAAGTAGACGAAGCCAACCAAGGAGCACGTTGTATGCTAGTCCATCCCATGCATATTGAATTGTAAAATCTGTTGTGACAGCAATCAACAGCCCTTTTTTTTTTTTTTTTTTTAGGTGTGTTTCCTAGCTTAAATACGTTAGGTCTTGCCTTGGTCCAATAACAAACTAATAATGAGGGGTCCCAGGCAAACTAGGGACTGGTTGAGGTATAACCACTGGTAACGTAGGCGAAGTGCGTTCATTAGTTATTATTCCAGAACGCCTTCGGCATCCTATGGGGTATATGGATTTTGGCCAGAGAGACAAGGATTTACCTGGTTTCTCTGAGATAAACAAACCCAACCATCACATGCAGGGAAGCGACTCAACATGGCCCGCAGATCCCGCCCTGGTACCTGTTTAGTGTGGCTGCCAGCCGTCTCCCCGCATATTCGCCCACCTGAAAATGCTTGGCTCAAGTTGAACCCGCAGAAGACAACAGGATGTGCAGCACATTACTGTAGTTCTTCGTATGCTGAAGATTGATGTTGCTCTTTAAATTTTCGCGAGTCGAAAGTCTTCATCATTAAAGGTCTTGATTAAGTAAGTCACAGTTACGTAATTGTCACGTGTCAAGTCCGTCCCACGTCACCTGATATCAATTCATTTCGGCCCAAGCTTTTTGGACAAGGGGGTTGACAGTTGAGAGCTGCATTCCTTTCGCTTCCAAGGCAGACAGAACATTCCTCGCCCTTGTTCGCATCAACTACTTTTTGCTAGAAGCGTATTACAGGATCGGCCTCTAAGATCAGGTTGCCAGGCTAACTCAATTAGTTTCACTGGCCAACTAACTTAGTTTACAACTCTGAATTGTGGTTATTCCTGGCCCCTGGTAGCCGCACCATCGTGATGGACTCGCTTGAGCCGTGTCAAACGACCAATTGTTTCCAAGACATGTCAACCCTGGCTCTTCTCAGTTCTTTAAATACACTCTTGGACAAGGTATCCAAGTTTACCGCCACTTGCCCTTGCTAGCCATATGAATATTCCTGAGATGATGACGAGGACGGTGACCTATGTGAATGGCCAATAAAGATAGTTTTTACTATAAAAATGGCTATCTATACCCCGCAAATGATACTGCACCAAGCCTTGCATGTCCTCCTGAACTTGCCTCTTGTCCACATTTTACCCCAGCTTCTGCACAGGACCCCTGACAATGAAACCCAACGCAGCCCCATCAGGCACTTGGTATTTATACTTTCTCGGTATACTGAGAGAAGCAAGAAAGCCGGCGCAGTATACTAAATAAATTGCGGGAATGGGTTATCTTCGGGGATCTCCTGATGCTTCGATGAAGTAAAAAGAAAAAAGATAAAACACCGGGATATATAAGGATGGCACAGAGGATGTCAATCTCCCGAGATCTTCAACCCAGTTTGCTTTGGTAACCGGCTGATCCCCCTTTTTGCGGTGGAAATCTACCAAGATGCGCTCAGTTTTGTCTCTTGCGCTGCTTGCAGCCAATGTGGTCACTGCTGCTGTAGTTTCCCCCTTTGATTACTCTGGATACAAGGTCATCCGTGTCCCTACCCAGAAGGACAATGTCAAAGAGGTGCAAAGGGTCATTACCGACCTGAACCTTGACACCTGGAAATATCCTAAGTCAGAGGGTCAGAATGCGGATATCGTGGTTCCACCAAGCCAGATCTCCTCCTTCATGGAGCGTATTTCTGGAATGAACATCGAGATGATGCATGAGGATCTCGGATTGTCTATCAGAAACGAGACTTCCTTTGAGGCATACAGCGGTAAGTTTATATTAATTCTATCTGATTGCATTTATATCTCAAACTCGTAGATCTGACATGTGCATAAATTAGCCGGCTATGCTCCCGACATCAACTGGTTCAAGTCTTACCATAGCTACCAGGATCATCTTTCCTACCTGCAAGATCTTCAGGGTCTTTTCCGCACTCGTTCTGAGTACGTTGATGCCGGAAAGAGTCACGAGGGCCGCACCATTCCAGCCCTTCACATTTGGGGCAGCGGCGGAAAGAACTCCAAGCCCGCTATTATCTTCCATGGAACCATTCATGCACGCGAATGGATCACTACGATGGTAATTAAACCCGAATAATCTAATCTATTTCTAATAATGTACTTTGGCTCACGATCCGTAACAGGTCACCGAATACATGGCTTGGTCTTTCCTTTCCCAATACAACAAGAACGCTGACATTACCTCCATTGTTGATAATTTCGATATCTGGATCTTCCCAATTGTTAACCCAGATGGTATGTCCTTCCTCATACATGGTGCATGCCTCAAGAAATAAGCCTTGCTAATGAAATCCATCCAGGATTTGCTTTCACTCAAACCAGCAACCGCTTGTGGCGCAAGAACCGTCAGCCAAACCCCAATGCTAGATGCCCTGGACGTGATCTCAACCGCAATTACCCATACCAGTGGGTTGGGCCTGGATCTTCTTCCAACCCTTGCTCTGATACTTACAGAGGTACCACACCCTAACTATTGCTTGTTTGGTCTAAAATTTCATACTAACTTATCGTCTTGACAGGTGCCCAACCTGGTGATGGAACCGAGATCAAGGTTCACATCGCCAACATGAAGAAGATTGCGGCTAACAAGGGTATCGCTATGTTCGTTGACTGGCACTCGTACGGCCAGCTCTTCATGTCACGTAAGTCCCTGCCGTATCGTAATTATTAAGGACTATCAACAGACCCACGATAAACTGATAATTACTCATAGCATATGGATACTCTTGTACTGCTCGCCCACCAACCGATGCTCGACACCAGGAACTGTCCAGGATCTTTGCCCAGGCATTGAAGGCGGTGCATGGAACTCCATACAAGACCGGACCCATCTGCAACACCATCTACCAAGTTAATGGAGACAGTGTTGACTATGCTCTCGAAGTTCTCAAGGTGAAGCTGTCTTTGACCGCTGAGCTCCGTGACACTGGCGCCCGCGGATTCGTTCTCCCCGCTGACCAGATCATTCCAAGCGGTGAGGAAACCCTTGCTGGTACTGTTGCCATGCTCAAGGCTGTGATTCAGGGATAGATGATCCATATCCATATTGGTTATATATAACCAATCAGGTGTACATAGTTCGATAACCATTATCAGTATATATTCACGACCTTTACCTATACTAAATATATATTTTCCACTCGACACTTTGCAAGTTCGTTAGAGTGATCATCAATATGCCCTGGCTGTTTTGTGGACTTCAAGTGTGTTATCTCCCATGCTCATCAAATAAACAGGGCATTCGTATTGAAAAATGGCCGCTACGGACGTTGATATAGACTACTATTTAACTCATTGCGGGCCGTCGATCAAAATCCTATATGAGCATCCTGAGATGGATCTATTCAAGGATTTTCTCAAGGGTATCAGTGTCTTTAACTCCGATCAATTTATTAATAGGTCGCTTGAGGCCATTTTGAAAAGAACCCCTCAGATCAAAGTGATGATCATCTCGGAATACCCCGCGGATCATGTTTCAGGGAAACGACGTCAAATCGACTGTGATCTCTTTGATTGCAGAGATATTGTGCTGGAAGCGACTGTTCGGCCATGAAAATACCGTTGAGCTTTGAAGAATGCGAATATTGATAAAGGGGCTGGTTTTTGCGGGGTGGACTACTGAAGGCCAACCCCACCACCATTGGTTGAATCCCCAAATTTGATCCAACTTAACCAAAGTCTCCCCTGAGAACTCAACTTCAACTTCCACCACCATTGACTCAAGATACACAACGAACATGGCCGATGAAGAGCGTCGGAAGAGGGATGAAGAAGATGAGGACGAAGAAGATCTCCTCGCCGCCCTCGAGGCTGAGGAAGATGACCCCAAATACCGCGCCAATCGCATAAAACAGCTCCAGTCCGAACTCTCAGACACAAAATCCAACGCCCAACAATCCAATAATACTACACACGATGCCGATAAGTCAGAAGCCACTTCGCTATCTACAGGAACAGATGCAGTTGTAACGACCATGCTCAATAACTCTCTCTATCCCACACTCCCAAACGACCAATCGCTCCTAGATTTCTCCACGCAAATACACCGCTGCGTAATTCACTTCTTCCACCCTGACTTCGCCCGTTGCAGCATAATGGATAAACACCTTACAACCCTCTCAGAAGCTCATAATAAGCGGGGCAAAGATGACGCACGCTTCGCTCGAGTCGATGTGCGGAACATACCATTTATCGTTGAGAAGTTGAAAATACGAGTTCTTCCATGTGTTCTTGGATTTATCGATGGAGCTGTGGTGGAGAGAATAACGGGATTCGAAGGGCTGGTTGATATGAATGCTTTAATGGGGAAGAAAGGTTCAGAAAAGACCACTGGTGAAGATTTCAAGACAAGTATGTTGGAATATAGACTTGTTCAGACTGGGCTGTTGAAGAATGCGGTGTTGTATGGGGATAATGCCGACGATTACGATGACGATGATAGGGACGATGATGAAGATAACGAGAGAATGGGCAAGAGGAAAACTATACGGACGGGGAGGACGATGAGGAGACGAGGGGGTGAAGATGACGAGGATGATTGGGATTGATTGATAGATTGGGAACGACTGGATGGACCGGCTCGAGCCCTTGGTTTGGATGCTCGAATGGCTGGTCTTATTTGGGTCTTGTAAAAACAGCCGTATCTTTACGTCTATTGAAGCCAGAGTCAGCGAATATCCCTCATTGCTATTCAGCCTGGTTGCACCAGCTGTATATCCGGCTATAGCAAGCCCTTTGAACGGTAAGAGCTGCGCTCCCTATACACGGTTCAAGGTGAGCTGCCAGGCTATGCAAAATATCTGTATGTTGCACATATCGTAGACTCATACCACCTGAAAAGGTTTATTGAAAGAAGATACTCCAATATAACTCAAATGGGTATCATATGTAAGACCTTTTAGCCTTTTGATATTGTTTCGTATGATAGACCGGGTGTCAAGCCTATGACAGGCGATATTAAGTAACAGAACACCACCGCTGCGAGAAAAGG